AGTTGATATGTAATTACTTATATAAATTAATCAATAAAGATATGAGCAAGGCCTCACCTTAATACCAAAAAAAAAAATAAATAAATTATACAATTTATATTTTATAAATTTATATATGTCAAAATTATAAATATTATTAAATAAAAAATCCGTGATCCGTCTGGCAACTAGTGAAAAAACGAGAGGAATATGTTTATTATGTAAACTTTGCCTTTTTTGTAATCTAGCGTTTCCCTAAGGATAATCGATTTTGTACTAAGAAAACCTCTTGTATGCATACCAAATGTTGTAGAGGAGGAAATTACGAGCTTAATGGTAGCTGAAACATTGAAATCGACCTAGTGGATCGTGATATATGGGCATTTTTGTCTTCACGACTATTTGTTTACTTCTTTGTTAACATCATATAGTCATGAGGACAGGCTGATTTTAGTGTTTCAACTACCATTATGCTCGTGTATTTCTCCTCTACAACGTTTATTATACGTATAAGGGGTTTTTTTTTAGTACGAAATCGATTATCCTTAGGGAAACTCCAGATTCAGAAAAGGCGAATTTTCTTGGCTAAAATCACCGAAAATCACATGATTTTTTACTGGTTCCTAAACGGATCGCGAATTAAATTAATTATATCTAAAATAATTAATATTAGTAAGTACATTAAAATAATTAATATTTAATTAAATATTAATATACTGAACTGCATTTATTAATATTACTAATTTGATAGAATAAATATTTATTTATTAAAATAGATTAAATATTATATACAGTATTAAAAAAATTTATAACTACTAAAGCGATTTTATTATATAAGTACTATACGTACAGTACGTACTGTACGTACTGTACGTACTGTACGCTAAAAAAATTCGGACATCATATAAATGGCACATCACTAGGCTTTATGATTTTTCTCAAAGATTTTTGACCTTTCTTTCAAACTGTAAGCGAAGTTTTCGCAATTACTATCTAGCTAACTTCGATAAAATTTTTTTATTTTAATTCTATTAACTTATAGAATTAAAATAAAATAAAAAATTTGCTAAAATTAGTTAAGTATTCATCGAGAAATATCGGCTCAAAGGTTTAAAATTTTAAAAATATTTTCATGGTCGATCATCCCCCGACCCAGAATTTTGGGGATCCTCCTTTAAAAAATCGTTGCACCGGATGATTATGTGACAGTAAAATCGATCCTACGCTCTGGCATTGTTCTATTTCACATGATTTATCTTAATATTTCCTTTTCGTGAATTTGTATTACGGGACAAGCCGACAGATTTCATTAAAGATGATATTAGGTATTCCTAATTTTGTAATTGTACCCAACATAGGCTGAATTTCACGTGATTTTATCTTTTCCTTTTCTTAAATTTGTATTACGGAAACAAGCCAGTAGATTCCACTAAAGGATAATAAATTTTTAAGCATTTCTAATTTCGTAATAGTACCTATCGCAGATTTGAAATTTACCGGTGCATGCACCAAATTGGGTATTGAATTATTAACGCTAAAATTGATGAACGAAACTCGTGATTTGGTCCGGAATTTCTTAAAACTTTAGGTTAGTATATGCGTAGATTATGTTTGGTGTGTATGTAGGATTCATTAAATATAAATTAAAATACTGCAGTGCCGTATGGTGCATAATTAATTGTATGTTACAATTTGGTTAGTTAGAAATGCAATTACATTAATGGTCCAAACTGTGGGGTCAAATAATAAAGCTCGTGATTGTGCTTCAAGCTTCCTTTGTTCAGAGTATTGTTTGACAATTACGTCTCACAAGTAAAGGATCTTCAAAATATTTAAACACTACGTAAATAATATTAATGCGAATTAAAAAAATTTTCAGTCCTTCAACCAGGTAGCCATAACTGTAGATTGTTAGAGTCCAGAATGGCTACAAACCTTTTAATATCTGATTCTGGATTGACTAAAATTAAAGAAATCACCAAAAATAATGACATTTTTCATCAATATGATAAGTTCGAAGAATTTGAAGTTATTGGAAATGGATCGAGGGGAATTATTCAAAAAGCAATGTCTATAACTTATCAAAAAATTGTGGTATTAAAAGAATTATCACAATCTCAAAACTATTCTTTCAAAGAGCTTATTAATGATGTAAGCAATTTTATCTATTTCTTTTATGGAGAAAAAAAACATACATAAACATAACAATAGCTTAAAATTACAGGTTCAAAAATATCAAAAAATAGATAACCATGATAATATTTTAAAATTATTTGGCCTAACACTACGAGGTATATTGTTAATTTACCAGTTTTCGAATTATTTTTTCATTCTTTTTTTTTATTGAATTTTTTCGGTTTCAGACAAGTACATTCTGGTTATCGAGTATGCGGATAACGGTACTCTCAGAAACTATTTAAAAAATAACTTTGATGCATTAAACTGGAGTGATAAGCTCAGTTTGGCAAAGCAACTGACAAGTGCTGTGATGCATTTGCATTCAAATAACATTATTCATGGAAATATGGTATGGCTATCAAAATTTCTTTTATTTTGATCATAACATTATAACATTATAACATTATTCAAAAAGTTTGACAATCTTTTAAACTTGTTTAGCATTCTGAAAATATTTTAATTTGCCGTGGTGATATTAAATTAAATGCGTTTAGAATCTCTGAACATGCAACAAAATCCAATTCACTTGCATCTTTACTTACCTCAATTCAATATTCGGATCCTGAGTACTTGCAAAATATTAAAACTTATAAACTTACAAAACGTTCAGACATTTATAGTCTTGGAGTTTTATTTTGGGAACTTTCTAGTGGGATGATTCCATTTGAATCCGAAACTATATCAGATTTCAATCTTTTAAATTCTATCATACAAGGAAAACGAGAAACAGTAGTTGACGGTACACCACGTGAATTTGTTAAAATATATACAGGTAATTAAAATTATTTAATAATTAAATTTATTAATATGATTGTATTAAATTATTTCTTAATAATCTTTAGATTGTTGGCAGTTTAAGCCAAAAAATCGTCCAACTATAAATCAAATATTCCAAGACCTTCAAAATGTTAACTTATCTGATATTATTCAAACTGCAAGCACATCACCAGTTTTATCTGTTAAAAAAAATTCGCACAATGAGAAGAAAATTAAATTAAAAATTGATAGTAAAGGTATACAGGATTTAATACAAACTTATCAAGAACAATATGATAATAAGGCTAAAGAATTAGACTTGCTTAGCACGTTTTTAAAGATATTGAAGCAATCAGATGATAATATTCAGAGCCCTTTCTCAAATTCGATGATATTTAATCAATCAAAATTAATTATTGATAAGATTCAAAATACCATAGGAGAGTTAACAGCATCTAATATTTTCGACAAACTTAATGAAAACTCTGCAAATATATTATCCTTATCACAATCGAGTAATTTAGAAAAAAATTCCAACAGTTCTAATGAGCCTCCTACAGATAAACTAGCATCTTTTAAATTTATCTTGGACTTATTTCAACACTTTTTTAAACATTTTGATACATACGAACAACATAGTGCAATAGGACCTGTCTTGACTAATTACTTTCAAAATAATAACAAGAATCCAACAATTGTTCTTAATCATTTAATTGATCATAAACATCATTTATATTTTACTGGTATTATTGGATTCTGTTTTCAATATGGAATTGGAACTACTATTAATCATAGAAAAGCAATTGAAATGTATGCGAAAGCGACAGAGCTTAAGGATACATTTGCTAATGCACAAACTAATTCTAAGGGTGTTGTAACTCTAGTAAAAGATCTTATAAAAAATAATTGGATTATTTGTAAGATTTCTTTGGCTATAATTTATTTAAATGGTAACGGAATAGAAAAAGATCAAGATAAAGCTTTTCAATTATTTTCTGAAGTTGCTGAAAAAAATTATGGTATTGGACAATATTATGTTGGTGAATGTTATGCCAATGGATATGGAGTTACTGAAGATCTTTCAAAAGCTTTCGAATGGTATTTAAAATCTTCAGAATCTGGAAACTCTATTGGTCAATATAATCTTGGACGATGTTATCAAAATGGTAATGGAACTGATAAAGATGAAAATAAAGCATTTAAATGGTATTTAAAATCTGCTGAACATGGTAATAATAATGCGCAATATAATCTTGGACAATGTTACGATAATTGTATTGGAACTGCTAAAAGTGAAAAAAAAGCATTCGAATGGTATTTGAAATCGGCTGAAAATGGAAATTCTGATGGGCAATATAGTGTTGGGTGGTGTTATCAAAATGGGTTTGGAACTTTAAAAGATAAAAAGAAAGCGTTTGAATGGTACTTAAAGTCTGCCGAAAATGGTAATTCTGGTGGACAAAATAATCTTGGATGGTGCTATCGTAATGGTATTGGTGTCGCTAAAAATGAAAAAAAGGCGTTTGAATGGTATTTGAAATCCGCTGAAGGTCAAAATCCTGGAGGACAATGTAACCTTGGTTGGTGCTATCAAAATGGTTTTGGAACTGTTAAAGATGAAATAAGTGCTTTTGAATGGTATTTAAAATCTGCTGAAAGAGAAAATTCTTTTGCACAATATAAAACCGGTTGTTGCTATCAAAATGGTTTTGGAACTACTACAGATGAAAATAAGGCATTCGAATGGTACTTGAAATCAGCTGAAAACGGTTATCAAAATGGGCAATATAATGTTGGACTATGCTACCAAAATGGGTTTGGAACTAATAAAGATGAAAAAAAGGCATTTGAATGGTACTTAAAATCTGCAAAACATGGGTCTATTGACGCGCAATGTAGCCTAGGGTGGTGTTATCGAAATGGATTTGGAATTGAACAAGATAAGACACAGGCATTTGATTGCTATTTAAGATCAGCAGAAGGTGGACACTCTAACGGACAATATCATGTAGGATTATGCTATCAAACTGGATTTGGAACACCTAAAGACGATGTAAAAGCATTTGAATGGTATAAAAAATCTGCAGAAAATAAAAATAATGTCGGACAAGGTAAACTTGGAATGTGTTACCAAAATGGTATTGGAACAGCTAAAGATGAAAAGAAGGCGTTCGAATGGTATTTAAAATCTTCTGAAGGAGGAAATTCTTATGGTCAATATAAAGTTGGTTGGTGCTACCAAAATGGGTTTGGAACTACTAAAAATCCGAAAAAAGCCTTTGCATGGTATTCAAAGTCTGCTGGAAGCGGATATATCGCTGCTAAATATAATTTAGGATGGTGTTATCAAAACGGTTTTGGAACTGCTATAGACGATAAGAAAGCATTTGAATGGTATTTAAAATCCGCAACAGATGGTAATTCTAATGGCCAAAATAATCTTGGATGGTGCTATCAAAATAGTTTTGGAACTAATAGAGACGAAAAAAAAGCATTCGAATGGTATCTAAAATCAGCATATGAAAGTCCGGATGGACAATATAATGTTGGGAGATGCTATGAAAATGGTTTGGGAACTTCTAAAGATGAAAAAAAAGCATTTGAGTGGTATTTAAAGTCTGCGAAAAATGGAAGTGCTAATGGACAAAATAGACTTGGATGGTGCTATCAAAATGGTGTTGGGACTGCTAAAAGCGAAAAGGACGCATTTTTATGGTATTTGAAACCTTCTGAAAACGGAAGCATAGTTTCACTGTATAACCTTGGATGGTGCTATCAAAATGGGTTTGGAACTGCAGAAGATAAAGTAAAAGCATTTGAATGTTACTTAAAATCAGCTGAAGGAGGAAATTTCAACGGACTATACAGTCTCGCATGTTGCTATCAAAATGGTTTCGGAACTGCTAAAGATGATAAGAAAGCATTCGAGTGGTACTTAAAATCCGCAGAAGGCGGAAATCCTAGAGGGCAGTATAATGTTGGACTAAGTTATCAAAATGGGATTGGCACCGTTAAGGATGAAAGAAAAGCATTTAAATGGTACTTAAAATCTTCTGAAGGTGGGAATCCTGCTGGTCAATATAAACTTGGTTTGTGTTATAGAGATGGGATTGGAACTAGTAAAGATGAAAATCAAGCCTTTAACTGGTTCTTGAAATCTGCAGAAGGTGGAAATTCTAACGGACAATATAATGTTGCATTATGCTATGATAATGGTGTTGGAACTATGAAAGACGAAAGACAGGCATTTGAGTGGTATGTAAAATCTGCTGAGAGTGGAAATTCTGATGGACAAAAGAGTCTTGGATGGTACTATCAAAATGGTCCCGAAATTCTAAGAGATGAAAAGAAAGCATTTGAATGTTATTTAAAATCAGCAGAAGACAAAAATCCTAGTGCGCAATTCAACCTTGGCCTATGTTATGAGAATGGTATTGGGACCGATAAAGATGAAAAGAAAGCATTTGAATGGTACTTAAAGTCCGCGGAGGGTGGAAATTCTCAAGGTCAATATAGGATCGGTCTTTGCTATGATAATAACTTTGGAACTATTAAAGATGAAAAGAAAGCATTTGAATGGTATTTAAAATCCGCCGAAAATGGGAATTCAAGCGGTCAATGTAGCCTTGGACAATGTTATCAAAATGGTTTGGGAACTTCTAAAGATGAAAAGAAAGCACTTGATTTGTATTTAAAATCTGCAAGAAGTGGAAACACTCAGGGACAAAATAAACTTGGCTGGTGCTATCAAAACGGGTTTGGAACGACTAAAGATGAAAAGAAAGCATTTGAATGGTATTTAAATTCAGCAGAAGGTGAAAACACTATTGGACAATATAATCTGGGTTGGTGTTATCAAAATGGTTTAGGAACTTTTAGAAATGAAAAAAAAGCATTTAAATGGTATCACAAATCTGCTGAAGGAGGAAATTCCAATGGGCAAAACAGTCTTGGTTGGTGTTATCAGCATGGTTTTGGTACTGTCAAAGACGAAAAACAGGCATTTGTATTATATTCAAAATCTGCAGAAAGTGAAAACTCTGATGGACAAAATAATCTTGGATGGTGTTATCAAAATGCTTTTGGAACTATTAAAGACGAAGAAAAAGCATTCGAATGTTATTTAAAATCTGCTGAATCCGGAAATTCAGATGGACAAAACAATCTTGGATGGTGTTATCAAAATGGCTTCGGAACTACCAAAGACGAAAAAAAAGCATTTGATTGGTACTTAAAATCTGCTGAAGGTGAAAATTCAAGTGGACAGTATAGCCTTGGACTATGTTATGATAATGGTTTTGGATGTGTTAAAGATGAAAAGAAAGCCTTTGAATGGTATTTGAAATCAGCAGGAAATGGAAATATTAACGCTCAATATAGTGTTGGATTATGTTATGATAATGGATTTGGAATAGTTAACGATGAAAAGAAAGCATTTGAATGGTATTTGAAATCAGCAGAGGGAGGAAACTCTGGTGGACAATGCAATCTTGGCTGGTGTTATCAGAACGGTTCTGGAACAGCTAAAGATGAAAAAAAGGCATTTGAATGGTATAAAAAATCGGCTATAGGTGGAAATTCTCGCGGACAGTATAATCTTGGATGGTGTTATCAGAATGGTTTTGGAACTAATAAAGATAAAAAAGAAGCATTTAATTGGTATTTAAAATCTGCGGAAGGAGGAAATTCTAATGGACAAAATAAACTTGGGTGGTGTTATCAAAACGAGGTTGGAACTGCTAAAAATGAAAGTAAAGCATTTGAATGGTATAAGAATTCTGCCTTAGGTAACAATTCTGGAGGACAATATAATCTCGGATGGTGCTACCAAAATGGATTTGGGACTGCTAAAGATGAAAAGCAAGCATTTGAATGGTACTTGAAATCTGCAGAAGGAGGAAATCCAAGCGGGCAAAATAAGCTCGGATGGTGCTATCGCAATGGATTTGGAACTGACAAAGATGAAAATAAAGCATTTGAATGGTATTTAAAATCAGCTGAAGGAGAAGATCCTAATGCACAATATAGTGTAGCTTTATGCTATCAGAAGGGTAATGGCGTATTATTAGATACACAAAAAGCTATTGAATGGTTACAAAAGGCCAATCATAATGGTAACCAAAAGGCATATAGAGAGTTAAAAAAAATCAATCATTTTAACAAATAGTAATAACGATCCGACTGTATATCTTTACTAGAAACTTAGAAAAATTCTAGATTAAATCTTTAATATTGTTTATCTGAACAGATAGACGGATAACATTTCTCGTCTCAATTAAATATCGGTTGATCATAGTTATTTTTGAATATATATCATAGATTTAGAAAATCATTTTTTCAAAAAAGAAAAAAAAGATTATTGTATCTTAGCAAAAATAATTTTCTTTCTAGCCTTAAATATTTTTTTATTAAATCCTAAATTAATGTGATACAAATTATTTAACAACTTATTATAGTTTATTTTTATTATAATAATAATTTAATTTTTATTTGCTTGGGAATTTATTAATAAATTTATTTATGAAATATAATTTAACAATCTTTTTTTGTGAGTGAAAATAAATTTAAAACTTAGAGCATCTTTTCATAACCCACAAAAAATCTTGAATTTATTGAAAAAGATGTTGAATGTGCCTTACAGTAATATCATATTGTTTTGTCTCTCATTTTCGGGATATAAGAACATAAACGGGTATTGCCCCTTCTGCTAATCGAGCACTACGCGAGCATCGATTGGTTTCTTATTCTACTAACTTTTCTTTTACAATTCTTAAATATGCAAGACGTTGGCTGTCGTCCCGACAGGCCATACCTAACTGTGTGACTGCTGTCCCAACAGGTCACAATTTACATTCCTCATATAATCATGAGTATTTATCACATTGATTGTCGTCCCGACAGGCAATACCAAACTGACTGTCGTCCCAACAAGTCACAATTAACATTTTCATATGGGTTTACCACAAAATCTCGAAAGACAGATTCCCGAAAGGACCTAAAACCAACAAAGTTAGCCAGCATTAGTTATAATTCTGGTCAATTTAGTCGGTATTATGTTCTTTCGGGAAAATGGTTTTCGAGATTTTGTGGTAAAACCTTTTCATATGATCATAAGTTTTGTATCACATCGACTGACGACCCGACAGGCCATACTTACTGTGAGACTGTAATCCCAACAGGTCACAAAAACCGCCTTACCCCGGGATTGGGTTGTTGGGTAGATATAACCAGAACAAAAGTCGGGTTCTCGGAAAAGACAAAAGTAATTCTTAATCAGAATTCCTTACTAACTAATATATTACGAAAATAATTACCTCATACTTACTCAATTATCACATGCTTAATCAATTACTCATAATACAATACTCATTTACAATGATCATATTTACATCACTGATCGAATTACTAATTACCGATTACATGTATTTTTCGCAGAAATCCAGACGAAATTAACCGCATTAACTACCTTTGGTATAATGTTGACCAATTTTTTGATTGACGTTGCTTACATTAAGCTAATTTTAAAGGTAGAGTTATGGTAGAATAAGTTTTAAGACTAATACCGATACAGACCAAAATTGGGAAAGGAAACTTTTTTTATTAGTCAAAAGCATCAAATTGAAATTTTTGGTTGGTTTGTCGATCATGATGGTTGTACAATGAAATTCTGTCTAATAAATACTATAGATTGTGAAAATATGAATTACGCAATTACCAATTTCCTGGAAGTTTAGAACGAAGCCATGTCAAAAATTACGGTATTATATTATAGATTCTATAAATTAATGGTGTTTAATAAATTTTATTCTAATGAATCCAGAAATTTGAAAATTCGACAGATTTTTTGTCTTGTTTTAGGTGACGTAATTGAAACAACTTTTCCGGTTGTTATTGATAAAAACATGACTGTTGCGCACCTAAAGGAACTTATTAAACAGGAAATAGCCCCTCATTATAACAATATACCTGCATATAAATTTGACTTGTTGAAAGTAGACATTCCTATTAGTAAAGAAAATTTATACAAGAAAATAGATGTCGAAAACATTAACGAATATGAAAATGAAAATTTACTCCTAAACATTACTATGAAAGAAGTTTTTTATGAAGGGCTTGAAAATAATAATATCCGAATAATTATAAAACCTCCTGGTATGTGTTTTGCTTTTCAAACAAGGAAATTTGTGGTTGTTTCACTCTTTATATTCAATTACTCTTTACTTATTCAATCTTCAATCACTCTTATACCTATTCAATCACTTTTATTTAGTCACTCTTTCATTCGACTCTTTTATTCAATCAGAAAAAAAGAAAGAGAAACGAACATGTGTGTAATATATGCCGTTCATGGCATTGACTGTTATCTTATTCATCAACTATTAATCATTTTTTAAATTCATTTTTCTTAGTTTTTTTTTTTATCGCTTGGTATTGAAGATCCTGAAGAGTCAGATGAAGGTCGTGATGGTCTTATGGTAATTTCGCCTATAAGGTTGAAACAGATCGTTGAATGTGTGGAAAGTAACAAGATTACGCTTCTACGTGGTCCTCCATCATCAGGGAAAACTACACTTGGACAAATGCTACGAGACCATTTCGAAGCTCTTAAACATATTAGCATATATATTAGTCTTGCTGGTATAAGTGGTGGGCCAGAAATATATGATGTGAAACTTTTCGATGATTATTGGATGAATGAAGTCGGTTTTAGTTGGACGGAGATCAGTGAATGCAAAGATATTGTTTATGTGTTCATTGACGAAATACAGGTCATTTATGGCAACGGTGCTCCATTCTTTTGGGGTGATTTGAAGAAACTTTCGTCAAGTGAATCGTACCTCCGAAGCATTCATGTAATTTTGCTTGGCACACATTATCCGACACTTGGTCCTCAAGACATGCTACTTTAGGTAGCCCAGATTTCAATATACCTGAATCTGTTCAGAAAGCAATATTTAATATCACTGGTGGACACCCTGGTTTGTATCGATTCATTTTGACCGCATTACGCAATCAATTTCATGAAAATGGAAGAACTGCGGATATGCTACGATTTCTTGCTTCTTCTTCACTATGGGACTGTATATTAGGAAATGCACGTGCTTTCCATTGGATATGTGATTGGAGTATAACTAAAGAAGAATCTGAATTTATTCGCAGAAAGATACTTTATTATCAAAATAACGTTCCCTTTTCTGCTGATTATGCAGTTAGTCCCGTTGTCAAGAAATTTATTAAGATAGGTCTTTTCTCCACAATAGGCCCTAATGAACAGATTCAATTTACTGCGCCCATAATGAGAGTTATTTTGAGTCACTATCTGTTCACTGCCCCTTTAAATTTTGAATCATTACCTGCAAGAACTTTTGATGAATTTTTACTAAGAACTATTGAGCGTATGAACCCAGATAATTTGCGTCAATTACTCGGAAAGGGATGCGATAATGATTCATATTTATATGAAAGAAGCTGGCAAATGGAATGGTATCGCACTGCCGTAAGCGTTGTCCCAGCAGGTACATCAATTAGTGCTGATGTTGGTGCCGTATTTGGTTCTGTAGGATTTTTAGATTTCTATATCAATGGTGAACTTTGCTGGGGAGTTGAGCTAACCCGTGAGGGAAATAGGTTGAATGAGCATGCAGAACGATTTGAAACCAATGATACATATGCTGATATCCCGTTAAAACAATGGGCAATTCTTTGATTTCAGGCATCATTCAAAAAAAGTAAGAGAACTTAAACCAAACTTCTGGTATGTGCTTTACTCGGATGACTTTAAAAGTGTTACCATTAAGCGTGATGGGTTTGTTGATATGATGCTTGGTTTACAATATGATAGTATGTAACTTTGAAGTATTATTATGAGATTAAATAGATTGAATGAATTGTAAACTGGTATTAAACTACTAGAGTATTGGTTGAAATTATATGTTTTAGAGGAAATTAGATAAATTTTCCATCTGTAATCATGGAATGCCACCATGGAAGCGTACTGAGCTTATAAATAAAATAAAAAAATCACATCTTTGCAAAGACCTGCATTTTTTTTTGCTAAATTATGATAAAATAACTTAAGATAAACATGTTAAATATATTACAAATATATTGTGCGCATATGATACGTAAAAACATTTTGGTAATTCTGTTAAATCACTATTAATTTAATACTTAACATATAATGGTTATTTAGTCTTCATATAATTATTATGTTAGAATTCTTTACAATAACAATTAAACAATTATAGAGATTCGTTTAGTTTACACGCTGAAAGGTCAGCATCAAATAAAACGGCAAAATCTTTTATTTCATAAATATAATCAATGCATATTTCTATTTAATCACTGAATTAAAGATTACTACAAAACTGTTAATTTTTCGTCAACTTGAATAAGTTTCTGCATAACAAGTACTATTTATTTAGTTAACTGATTTATCTAGTTATCTGTTAGATAAAAGAAAAGGTCAGTAGTCTATCACGTCTGTATATTGTTATAAGCTAGCATATAACTTGTGCTTCTAGCATTAGAGTTTTGTAAATATTTATTATATTAACTAGCAATGTGTTGTACGGGCGACTTCGTCGCCGGTTGTAGCTTTGAGTGAATAGAAGATTTAGTATATACATATCGGCGGATTTACGGAATTGTATCTTCAAAGTTATCCGCAAAATGAAACCAAAATTTTGTAGCAAACAAATATACGTACATATAGTTTAAGGGGTAAAACAGATACAATAACACTGTTATTGTATCTATTTACCCCTTAAATTATCTTTATATGTACGTATATTTGTTTGCAAATTTTTGGTTTCATTTTGCGGATAACTTTGAAGATACAATTTAGGATCAATTCCGCAAATCCGCCGATATGTTGTAACTATTTATGAACAGAATCCTATAGTCATATGAATAATACTTTTAATAGCAACACGTATATACGTGTTTGTTTTCAGTAATTGTCCAATACTGATGCGTAGGACTAGTTCTAATCTCATTGGTTTCAGATCAGAATGTGTGTAATTATTATTATTATTTGAATTATTATTTTTTTATCAGATTTGAAATTATATATTTGTTCTCAGTTATTCTACTAGAATTTTTATATTCAAAAAATTCATATACTATTTTGTAAGCTTTATATATATTGATATAATATATATATAACTTTATTATAACAAATTTATAATTACTTCTCAAAAACTATTTTTTTTAGCAGATTTATAATAATATTTATATTTTTAGCTATTTTTCTAAAATCACTATATTTAAAATTTAACTGAACAAGATTCATACAAAGGCAGTCCGCCAGCAAAACCACAGGGTCGGGGACGACCAGATAAGGCGAATCCGTCAACAAAAGACGCTAAAATTAAGTAAACCCAGCTTAAAAAGATTAACAAGACTATTCGGCTATGAAATTAGGGACTGCGGATCTAGATCAAAATCACTTTTTTTTTGACATGTGATGGGCTGACTTTTAAATCAATACTGTATTACTGTATTACAGTATTATCGCATTACTATTGATTTAAAAGCCCAGATCGTCACATGTATTGGAGTGTCAAAAAAAAAGTTTGATTTTGCCGAGCACTATTCAAGACAATATGATTTTTGTGAACATATTTTTTTATTTTTATGTTCACATTAAAATTTTATTAATTAGATAAAATTATTTATGTTCACAAATGTGACATAAAATAAAAAAATTATGATTTTTTTTAAAAAATTTATGTTCACTGAACATATGATTTTCAACACTGATTTAGATGACATACGTGTCGTATCTAAAGTTACTATCTATCAGCTATCTGAAGTTGCAACTTTAGATATATAAAGTTGCACCTAACCAGAATTATATGTATGAAGATCTAATTTCAGGGGCTTAATTTTAGTCAGGTCAAC